CAGGTTAAAAAGGATAAGTGGGTAACACTTTGTTCTTTGGAGTGGCTGACTTTCCAACTCGGGTGGCCTGCCAAAGGCTCCTTCTCTCTGCTGCTGATTACGGTGGTAAAGAGAAAAATTTTTGGTTTTAATTCTAGAAGTCACCCAGACCAGGTCCCTTATATCATTGTCTGGGAAGATCTTGTCACGGACCCTCCTCCGTGGGTCTGTCCTTTTGATCCTCTAACAGGTCCATTGGCTGTGTTTGCTCTTTGAGAGATGGAAAAGAAACCAGAGGTCCTACCTTCCACCAAGTCGGACTTGCTTCTCCTAGACCCCTCTCCTCCTTATCCTACCTCCCTCTGCCCTCAGGCAGCCCACCCATCAGCTCCGCCGGAGGACCCACAAGGAGCAAGGGAGGGACCTGCGCAGGGGATGCATAGTAGGCAAGCAGCCCCTCCGGAGGCTGTTCCCACCCTCCCTCTGCGGGCTTATGGCCCTCCTGATGAAGAAGGCAACCAGCCCTTACAATACTGGCCTCTCTCCTCTTCCAATCTTTACAACTGGAAATCTCAGAATCCCCCTTTCTCTGAAAAACCCCAGGGTCTCACTAACCTTGTAGAATCCCTCCTCTTTACTCATCAGCCCACCTGGGATGACTGCCAGCAGCTCCTCCAGGTCCTGTTCACCACTGAGGAGAAACAACAAATCCTCCTGGAGGCTTGAAAGAACGTTCCAGGAGACGATGGACAACCTACCCTCCTCCCTGATGTTATAGATGCAGGATTCCCATTGACCAGACCAAACTGGGACTTCAACTCGGCAGAAGGTAGGGAGCATCTGAAAGTCTATCACCAGGCTCTAATGGCAGGTCTCTGAGGGGCAGCAAAATGCCCCACCAATTTGACTAAGGTAAGAGAGGTAATCCAGGGACCCAATGAGTCTCTGTCAGCATTTTTGGAGAGACTCATGGAGGCATTCCGTCAGTTTACTCCGTATGATCCTAGTAGTGAGGAGCACAAGGCTACAGTGACAGTTGCTTTTATTGACCAGTCTAGTAGAGACATCAGGAAGAAACTGCCGAAGCTTGAAGGGTTACAGGATAAGTCATTGAGGGAATTAGTGCAGGTGGCTGAAAAGGTTTATCATAATAGAGAGTCAGAGGAAGAAAAAGAAGAGAAAGCAGAAAGAGCAGGAGGCTAAAGAAATAAAGAGAGAAAAGCACCAAGAAAGAAATCGTCACAAAATTCTGGCCACTGTAGTTAGGGAAACTAAGGAACCTAGTAAGACAGTACCAGGCAGCAAGAAGGAGCCCCTAGCAAAAGATCAGTGTGCATTCTGCAAGGAGAAAGGACACTGGGCTCGAGAATGCCCCAAGAAAAAGAAAAAGCCTCAGGCCCCCAAAGTCTTGGCCCTGCAGGAAGACAGTGATTAGAGGGGACAGGGTTCGGACCCCCTTCCCGAACCCAGGGTAACCCCTACAGTGGAGGGGAAGCCCACTCAGTTCTTGGTAGATACTGGGGCTCAGCATTCAGTGTTATTGCAAACAGATGGACCCCTCTTAAATAAAAAATCATGGGTAGAAGGGGCTACAGGGAGCAGACAATACCCATGGACTACCCGAAGAATGGTGGACCTAGGCATGGGCCGGGTATCCAACTCATTCATTGTCATTCCTGAGTGCCCCTACCCACTGCTGGGAAGAGACCTCCTCACCAAAATGGGTGCTCAAATCCATTTTGACCCCGAGGGACCTCGGGTGTTAAACCGACAAGGAAAGCCTCTCCAGGCTTTAACTCTCAGGCTGGAAGATGAATACCAATTGTTTGCGAGACAAGGGCAGGAGACCGGACAGATGGACTGGTGGTTAGAAAACTATCCCCAGGCATGGGCAGTAACTGCAGGGGTAGGGAAAGCTAAAAACAAGACCCCCGTCCACATAGAGCTGAAGGCTCAAGCCAGTCCTATAGCTGTCCGACAATACCCAATGTCCCGAGAGGCACACGAAGGCATCCGACCCCACATTGCCTGTTTGCTCCAGCTGGGGATCCTATGGAAGTGCCAATCAGCCTGGAACATGCCCTTGCTACCAGTCCGAAAGCCTGGGATTAATGACTACCGACCGGTCCAGGACCTCCGAGAGGAAAACAAGCGGGTGACCAACCTCCACTCCACGGCCCCTAACCCCTCTAATCTTTTAAGCTCTCTACCCCCAGACAGGGCCTGGTCCTTGGTACTGGATCTCAAAGATGCATTCTTCTGCTTACTGCTGGCTGTAAAAAGTCAAGATTACTTTGCCTTCGAATGGAAAGATCCAGAGACTGGCCTAGCAGGGCAACTCACATGGACCCGCCTGCCTCAAGGATTCAAAAACTCGCCCACCATCTTTGATGAGGCCCTCCACCAGGACTTGGCCATGTTCCGGGCCTCTAACCCCCAGGTAACTCTGTTGCAGTATGTAGATGACCTCCTCCTGGCAGCGGCTGACGAGGAACTGTGTCTGGAAGGAACAAAGCGTCTCCTCACAGAGTCGGGAGAACTGGGCTATCGAGCCTCTGCCAAAAAGGCTCAGATCTGCAAGCGACAGGTCAGTTACCTGGGGTACCTTCTTAAAGATGGGAAAAGATGGTTGTCTGAGGCCAGAAAAGAGACAGTGTTTCACATTCCGCCACCCGCTAACCCAAGACAAGTCAGGGAATTTTTAGGTACTGCCACCTATGGATACCTGGTTTTGCTGAGATGGCAGCCCCATTATATCCCCTCACTAAGAACAGTCAGCCCTTCAAGTGGGGAAAGGAAGAACAACAGGCTTTTAACAACATCAAGACGGCCTTGATATCCGCACCGGCTCTGGGGCTCCCCGATGTAACCAAGCCCTTCCACCTGTATGTGGCAGAAAGTAAGATTCATGCTTTTGGGCCAGTCTTACAAGAGATGTCTGATGTTTATTCTGATTCTTAGTGGGACATCAGTCCTATCAGATTTAGGGCCCCACCAACATGACCTCATTTAACACTCATTACCTCGCTAAAGTCCCTGTCTCCAAACAGAGTTACACTGGGGGTTAGGATTTCAACATATGAATTTGGGGGGATACAATTCAGTTCATACAGCAAGGTACAAGAAGATACAGGGTAATCAAAAATGGAGACTGGAAGACCTGCTTCACCATGACATTACAAACCTATTCTTCTGAGTTTTCTTTGCAGTGAGGTCAGGACACCTCTCACCTGGAGGACTCTGCACCTGACTCCCATATCCCAGAACATCAGTCCTTCTGGGGGAAGATAATGGGTGGGACTGGGTTCTCATCTGTCACTCTCTCAGCCTCCAGTGGGTGTCTCACTTAAGCTAAAAACCCAGGACGACTACCAGGACTGGCAGAGATTTTCACTGGAAAAGAAACACCCAGAAATGCTACAAGGTTCTCTTAAAAGAGTCTTAGGATCCTGTGGTTTGCTCTTCTGAGTGGCTAAAACATGAGATTTTATTTGTTCATACATTTGATTTTTGTCTAGAAATGTTTATTTTAAAGAATCTTTCCATTCATACCACTTTTTAGGGATATTACAGAGCATGACTTGGCTTGATCACGATAATCCAGTTCATCTCAATGCTACTAAGATAAAAGAATTGCAAAATATGTATGTGAGTTTAGGGTAGCCAAGCACGTGGAATTAACTAATAATGTTTTCACCTTGGGAAAAGTATTATTTCTTTTTCAAAGTGTGTTGTGTGCCAAACTCTGTTACCAAGGTTTGCAGAAAGACATTTGGGTAATTTCAGGAGCAATTTCAGGGTAGATATTATCATATGAAATTGTCTGCTGAGTGGGTAGATATCACTTCCTATTATTATGGTTTGTTTATTGGGAGGCAAATGGGATGAGAGTGTTAAGTAGTGCATACATAAGTTGAGGCAGTGAGACATGGAGAAAAAGAAAAAAAAGTGAACTGTTGGATTTGGGGCCTAACAGACCAGAGATTGTCACTTACTAGCTCTGTGATATTAGATAAGTACTTTAATTTTCTAGGCCACAGTTCCCCTATCTGTAAAATGAATGTTGATGACCTCTAAAGTTCTGTAATAGTACAGTTTCAGCTGTTGTATCAAACACCACAATTTCAGTGGCTTAACACAATAGAAATAAACTTAAAATAAAAATAGCTTGGGCTGTTGAAGTTCTTTCTATTTCAAATGAACTTTTGAAATTTAATTATAGTATGTATGATGAAAAATGCACAAATCAAAAGCTTGTACCTCAATTAAGTTATAAGTGAATACCCATGTAAACAGCATCCTAGGAACAACTTTCATAGCTCTCCAATCACTCACTCCCCACCTTCAAAAAAGCAACCACCATTTTGACATCTAAAAACATACTTAGTTTTACATGTTTTTATACTTCTGTAATTAGAACCACATAGTGGGTATACTTTTGTGTTTGGCTTCCCTAGCAGAGATACAATTGTGAGATTCATACATATTGTTTTTTGCACATAGATAGCAGCAATTCAGTAATTTTGATTGCTTTATGGTATTCTATCAGGTTGAGGCAGGAAGCTAGATAGAGACAAGAGTAGGAGAAGGAAAAACTGGTTATCTGCAAATGGGACAAACCAGTTCCCTGAGCAGGCATGCACATACTCAGAAGCGACCACAGGAGACAAGGACAATTCCAGACAGGGAGGCCCCCCACCACCTTGGGTGCCATTTGGTTAGACCAATGAGTCCCCACCAGCTAGGGCGCCAGTCTCTTTAACCAATATGATAGATTACTTTCAGGGCTATTTGGATTTACTGACCAAATAGCATGAATCCAGCTAAGAGGACTTAAAACCCCAGGAGTGTAACTACCGGCACTCTTGAGCAGTCTCCTCTCTCGCTTGAGCCCACTCCATTTTCTCTGGAGTGTACTCTTCCCTCATCCTTTACTAAATAAAACTGCCTTTACTTTTCACTTCTGGTATGTCTGTCCAATTCTTTGTTTGAGATACTAAGAACCTGGATCTAGCCAGTAGGACTTGGAATTTTCCCATAACAATATGAATATACCAAAATTTGTCAGTCCTTTGTTGATGAATATCTGGGTCATTATAAATAATGCTGCTATGAATATCCTTTTTCCCCCCTGTGTCATCTAGCCAGTAGGACTTGGAATTTTCCCATAACAATATGAATATACCAAAATTTGTCAGTCTTTTGTTGATGAATATCTGGGTCATTATAAATAATGCTGCTATGAATATCCTTTTTCCCCCCTGTGTGTGTGTATATATATATAACATATTTATATATAATGTATGTATATATTTGTCTGTTTTAGCCTTTGTGTTGCTATAACAAAATACCTGAAACTGGGTAATTTATAAATGAGAGAGGTTTATTTGGCTTACGATTCTGGGACAGCTGCATCTGGCATGGGCCTCAGGCTGCTTCTACTCATGGCGGAAAAGTGGCAGAAGCCGGTGAGCACAAGAAGATCACATGGTGAGAGGAAGCAAGAGAGAGAGAGAGAAGGTGCCAGGGTCTTTTTAAGCAACGAGCTCTCACGGGAACTAATAGAGCGAGAACTCACTCATTAATCCCCCCTTCCCCAGGGAGAGCATTAATCCATTCA